GGGTTGTGTGCTGATGCAACGTGGAAAAGTAATAGCTTATGCTTCCAGACAGTTAAAAGATCATGAGAGACAATATCCTACTCATGATATGGAGTTAGCGGCAGTTGTGTTTGCGTTGAATATATGGAGACATTACTTGTATGGAACGAAGTGCCAAATCTTTACAGATCATAAGAGCTTGCAACATCTGTTTCATCAGAAAGATTTGAATATGAGTCAGAGAAGATGGTTGGAATTGGTGAGTGATTATGATTGTGAGATATTGTATCATCCAGGCAAGGCAAATGTAGTAGCCGATGCGTTAAGTCGACAAGAGAAAAGTGGAACGATCAAAGCTATAGCCTTACGAGTTGAGTTATTACCCAATATTCAAGAAGAGTTACGAGAATTTCAATATGAAGCCATGAAAGAGAATAAGATCAAACGTGAAAGATTGGATGGATTAATATCTGATTTGGTAAGAAATGGCACGGAATTTTGGAAATTTCAGAACAGAATTTGGGTACCATGTTATGGTGATCTCAGAAAGCGTATCTTGAATGAAGCTCATCAGTCACGTTTTGCGATACATCCAGGAACAAATAAAATGTATCGGGATTTGAGACAACATTATTGGTGGCCAGGGATGAAGAAAGAGATTGCTAAACATGTTGAACAGTGTTTGACTTTTCTTCAAGTAAAGATTGAACACCAACGTCCTTATGGTAAGTTACAATCTTTRRAAATTCCGGTTTGGAAATGGGATCATATTACTATGGATTTCATAACCAAATTGCCGAGAACATCGAAAGGATATGATGCGATATGGGTGATAATGGATCGGTTATCTAAATCTGCACACTTCTTACCTATGAAAGAGTCGTATTCGATGGAGAGATTAGCAAAGTTGTATCTTGATGAGATAGTGAAACGACATGGAGTTCCATTATCAATTGTTTCTGATAGAGATAGTCGCTTCACTTCTATGTTTTGGAAGAGTTTTCAGAAAGAGATGGGTTCACAGATTAAATTGAGTACAGCTTATCATCCTCAAACTGATGGACAGAGTGAACGAACTATCCAAACATTAGAAGATATGTTGAGATCTTGTGTTATTGATTTTGGAGGGTCGTGGGATRRTCATTTGACATTGGTTGAATTTGCATACAACAATAGCTATCATTCGAGTATTCAAGCATCACCTTTTGAGGTTCTGTATGGGCGAAAATGTCGAACTCCTTTATGCTGGAATGAAATAGGGGAAAAACAGTTAGCTGGGCCTGAGTTAGTTCAGCAAACTGCAGATAAAATTGGAGTAATTCAAGAACGAATGAAAGCGGCACAAGACAGACAAAGAAGTTATGCAGATAAACGTCGGAAACCGATTGAGTTCCAAATAGGTGATAAAGTGATGTTRAAAGTATCACCTTGGAAAGGAATAGTACGTTTTGGAAAAAGAGGGAAGTTAAGTCCAAGATATGTTGGACCATTTCCTATTATTGGAAGAGTTGGGGAAGTAGCCTATWAGTTAGAACTTCCTTTAGAGTTAAGCGGAATTCATGACACGTTTCATGTGTCAAATTTGAGGAAGTGTTTAATAAGTTCAGATGTGGCAGTACCCTTACCTGAGATTAGGGTGGATGAAAAGTTATGTTTTGAAGAAACCCCTAAGCAGATTACTGATTATAAGGTGAAAAAGTTACGAAATAAAGAGATTGGGTTAGTAAAGGTTCAATGGCGTTATCATAAAGGATCAGATGCCACCTGGGAACTAGAGTCAGAAATGCGGATGAAATATCCCTATCTGTTTGCTTAAGTGAATTCCGGGACGGAATTCTTTTAAGGAGGGAATATTGTAATAGTCTGGTTATCATTTTAGTTATATATATATATATATATATGATATATGTATGTATGTATGATGTGTGTGTATGTGAGAGCTTTTAATTAAAAAAAAAAGAGAAAGGGGAGAGAGGTCGGCTATTAAGCCGCCTCTCAAAAGTTCAAATGGGTGTGTATATATATAGTTTTTTTTAAAGAAAAGAAACACACACATACACATACTACATTTCTCAAAAACTCTCTGAAGAAGTTGAATTGCAGCAAGGAGAAGAAATCTACAAAAGCTTTGATATTCAATTCTAAAAGGTGAGTGTATTTGAGCTTTGAATATGAATTGCTTCATACAAATTGAAAAGCATTTCAACTGATTATTATGTGTTTGGAGGCATTTTTATGATGATATTTGGGTATACCGGCCAAGTGGTGTCCGGATTGAGGTCCGGATACTTAAACCGGATGTGTTTTGTCCGGATATCCACTAAACCAGACAAGAGGTGACCGGTGTGTCTTATAAACCGGCCAAGAGGTGAGCGATTTATTTCTAAACCGCTTGTATCAAAAGGTTTAAGTCTTTAAACCGGCTAAAGGGTAACCGGTATACTCTAAACCGGACAAAGGATGAACGATGTATCGTCCGGTTTATTCTAAACCGGGCAATGTTGAAATTAAAGTATTGTCCGGACTTCTAATCCGGACAAGAGAGTTGGATGTTTTCAAAGTATTTTGACCGGACTCCTAATCCGGGCAGGTTTGACCGGATTTCTAATCCGGGTGAAAAAGAAGGTTTTGAGAAATGTTTTCGTTATAATGATTGAGCAGTGTTAACTGGTGTGAGATGGCGGTGTAACCGCGATAGTGATTGAGCAGTGTTAACTGCGTTTGAGATGGCGGTGTAACCGCGAGAGTG